AATTTTTGGTAGAGACAGGATCTCTCCGTGTTTCCCAGGGTGATCTCAAACTCAAGTGATCCTCCCAACTCTGCCTCCCAGAGTACTCAGATTAGAGGCATGAGCCACTGTGCCTAGCCTCAATGTGTAATTTTCTTAACAAAATTTTTATTTGGAAAGTAAATTTATAGTATATAGGTTAAAAACTTTTAAAAAAGAAAAGAAAAGGCAAGACAGTCTTAAGGACTTATAAAGGGCAGGATTAGCCAGGGTATGCAACTTACTGTTCATAAATAACAGGTGAAGTTAGTGTAGTGGCTCATGCCTGTAATCCCAGCAACTCAGAAGGCTAAGGTGGAGGATTACTTGAGGGCCAGAAATTTGAGACCAGCTTGGGCAACATAGCAAGACAACATCTCTTAAAAAAGTAGAAAGAAAAAGAAAAAAATTAGTTGGGTGCTTGTAGTAAGCACTTGTAGTCCTAGCTGCAGTGGAGGCTGAGGTGTGAGATGGGAAGCTCACTTGAGCCCCAGAGTCTTCCATGATTGGTGCCACCTCACTCCAGCTTGGGAGACAGTGAGATCCCAACTCTAAATAAAACAAACAACAGGGGAAACAAGACAAACAGTGTTTTACCATTCAGTTAGTTATTAACTGGCTCTTGTTTTCACAAATATGCTTAATTCAGTATTATTTTATTAAGCAACATTTATGCAAAGTAATAAGTGCTTCTCAGCACTTCTCTACCTACCCCCTCCCCTCCAAGTAACCTTAATAGGTTTAGTAGTTTTTAAAGCACTTTCACATACATTACCTGATAGTTAGCCTCATCAGGTGACAGCCAGGGCAGGCATGTCTTTCACAGATGAGGAAAAAGGCTTTGTTTACTTCAGTGAACTATTTTACCACATTCCATCTGAGCAGAAAGAGGAAATATTACTAGTTTTTGTTTTTATAAAGAGCATAGACACATCAAGATATGAATGTCAGAAAATATTAACCTTATCTTAGCCAAAATTTTGATGTTAAGCCCTATTTCATATCTGCAGTGTTTCACAGTATTATTATAGTTTTATAATTCATGTAACTTCGTCAGGACTTTTCTTTCCTTAATACTTTTTGCAACTACTGCATATGATCAAGATAGAAACATTATACAACTTAAACATTTTCTCCATTTAAAAAGTAATGCATACCCACTAGAAGATTTAAGAAATAGAGAAAGTTAGGATTAGAAAATCTTACCAAAATCTAAGTCAAGCAGTGTTAACATTGCTTTTACTTTTTACTTCCAGTTTGTTGTTTTAGGCTTTTTGTATGTATAACCGTGAGCATAATGGATGTACACTTTTACATTCTGGTTTACTCCTCACCTAATGTAACATGAGTATCTTCACCTTTTAGTTCTCTAAATAATGGCTAGTATCAACTGAGTGATTTCTGCCTTTTAAATGAAGTATAGCATAAATATATCAGAAATCCTCACTATCACTGCTGTGGTGACCCATAATTTCTGTCTACTTTATTTGGATAAAAGATTACTATGATTCTTTTTCTTTGGGGTCAGAATTTTCTTGCAAAGTCAATTCTGTTATAGTGCTTGCTTTGGAAATGCAAATTGGTCCTAATTGGTACATTAGGGAACAATTTGACCCTACCTCAAATTTCACCTTTGCTTATACACAGTTTTGTTCACCAGAAATGCTAGGTAAATGCTGAAAACCTTACCCAGCTCAACTGAATACACAAAAGGCTCTCAGGCATTCTTGGCAAACATCTACCAGGTACCTCAGTATGAGCTACAGCTTTGCTTCTGAAGCAGAAAAGTTTCCCTGGCCCCTTTGCAGGCAGGAACTGGAGTGCACAGGTACTGGACCTAACCAGGCGCTTTGGTGGGGCAGGGGCAAATTCCACTCACTCAAACCCACTGCATTCTACTCCTTTTGGGAGCGGGGAGCACAGGTGAACAGGTACAAGAGCTGGGGTGAGTGCTTTTGGTCACTGGCAGGAATGAATTCTGTACTGTCCCCATGGCAGTATCTAGGGGGATGCCCACTACCCCTGAAGTCCCAGAAGGAGTATT